ATCTCGGGCCATTTCTTAATTCCGTTTCATCATTTCATCTTTCTCCCCAAATCTCTTGCTGACTAACAAAAAATTACTTCGGATCAAACTTGAAAGGGCATATTTCCTTGAAAAACAATTGCTGGGTTTCTGATTAATACCATAGTCAATTGAAACGAACGATTGTACACTCAAAAAAGTTATCGATCTGTTTGCGGAAATTATATGTGCTCATTCAGGTGTTGGGCTGTGTGTATGGCTGCGACTGCGCGAATGACTTCTGCTGTGGCTACGGCTGCGACTGCCTTCGTCACTTTTCATTGTCTGATCCTTCTCCTGGTCACTCTCACGATCGTGGCCATTCTCGCGCTCGCGATCCGCATTCGAATCGCCACCGTTCTCCATCGGTGCATCCTCAACTTTTGCGCTTGCGTTTGCGGTTGGTGACTGTGAACGCGATCTGGGTGAGGCAGATCTGGAACGTGAACGCGACTTCGAGCGTTCGTCCGCCTCGGCAGCGCCGCTTCGTTCACGTTTCACTGCTGGTGCAGGACTACCCGATGCGGAACGTGATTTGGAACGTGAACGCGTCGAATGCGAACGTGAACGCGTATGGGAACGCGAACGTGTACGTGAGCGAGAACGTGTGCGAGAGCGCGATCGTGAACGTGACGAGTTACTGCGAGAACGTGAACGTCTGCGAGAGCGTGAACGGGAGCGTGAACGAGAACGGCTGCAAGATAAATTGTGATTAGTCCAAATCGTGGTGGGAATCAGATAGAAGAATGCGATAGAACAAAACTTCAAAATCACGACTGCAATTCGCACTGAATGAAACAGAAGTGCTGACTGATTAAAATCAAAGCAGAGCAACTAAAATGCCTCATTACCTTCTGCTACGACTGTCTCGTTTCTCTGAATCGTCAACCAGTTTCAATTTACGACCGTTCACCTCTTTGCCTTGCAGTTTGTCCATTGCACGTTCCAGATCGTCGCGTGATTGGAAACAGACAATGCTAAAAGTACTGAACGGTATGTTAAAAAAAGTCCCAAATCGGTGCTTTTCAGCTCAACATTAACGAACGAATTCATGAACGGAAGGATTTTATTGAAGGGAACTTTAAAATGAACAATGGAAGCTTACCCCTCATTTGCATGCTGTTTATGCGCATCCGCAAACGTTACTTCACCAGCTGTACGCATTATGTCTTTTAGATCCTGAAAGATATCGTTGAGCTTTCAAACCTTTGAAAAATTTATTTCGAAGCAAAAATTTCACATCAGAACGCCGCCATCTGATCCATCGTTACATTTGTTGACAAGAAAAAATGAAATGCAACGCTTGCATGCGCTTGACTGTGCGGCGCGCTGAACGCTATTCGACGGACGAGTTGCCGGGAAGCAGATACTGATTCGACTTCAGTAACCTCCGTTGGGCACAAATTCGTTCCTTTTCAACTGGAAAACGACCTTCTAGTGTTGAGCCGCCTCTAGCAATCTCATGCTTTTCATCAGCTGTTACCTGCTGAACGCAGAAATATACAGACAGATGTGTGTGTGTTGAAGAATTCATAGCTATGCGCAATCGTTACAGTGAGTACTTTGACATATTGCTTCAGGATACGAAAGGTTCGCCTCTCTCATCATTTCATTCCATCAAGATATCTACCAAAAACCAATCGCAGTTATATGAACGTTACATCAGATATTCTAATCATTCGACAGTTTCAAGTGTGCTTTCCGTCGCAAAATTTGAGTTCCAAACAAGCATTTACTCGTTTTGAAGACAAAATAAACTCGAGGTGAACCTTCCGCTCACAGTTTGCATAAAACTGCGGCGAATAATGTAGATGAAGAGCTTTAGAAATGTTCCAATGGAATAGAATGAAACAGCCTTACAACTTTACGAGAATGCACTCGAAGCGTTGATTATGAACGTAGTAGAGATGAACATGTGTTCACTTTATCTAATCAATGAGAAAAATCAGAGAGACGCGTTTTAAATGATTGATCAGCAGCGAATCAAACGGAATCCCAAAAAGCGAACCAAAGAAACACCCATGTTGAGGTATGACCAACGAACCGTGCTTTCGATCAGATCGAATACGCATTACTAGAAGATATCGAATCATCTCATTGGTGAAACCCAACCATTCGACGCAGAAAAACAACCGTTTTGATAGCATGAAGCGCATATTTCAGATATGAAAGCACGGTAAGGGTCACACGCACACACCGAAATTTGTTGATTTTGAAGTGACTTTATTAACTGACCGTCCGTGTATATAGAGGTGGTGTGCAGCGCTCGCTCGCTCTCTCACACACGAAACGAAACGGTAGTGGTGGCGTTAGTAGGCATCAGTTCAGTTCAGTTCATATCAGATCAGCTCAGAAACAAGACACACCCGAGAACCAAGTAGGAGAACCGCGAACGATACAACGAGAACGAGCGTACCCGAAGCATCACGACTGACAGAACCGACCACTGTCAAATACCCTAAGATTTTGGAGAGTTTCGTAAACAGGCGGCGGCGCCTGTTGGATCTTTCTCTTCGTTTCGCTTCGCCACGCACTGCGTCGCATCCCAGCGCACAGAACCAGCCTCGTGTACCGTACCGATCGTACCGTAACGTAACGTAACGCATCGCACCGTACCGTACCGAAGTAGCAGTAAAGCCAAATTCAGCGGTAATATATCATTAGATATTAATGCCGAAGAATTCAGCCACCAAGCACGCCGTGGCTATGGTTTTGTGGTGTAAACGACTGGCATTGTATGAATTTGATGACATATTCCTTTCGAAATAGTACCATAGAGGACTGACTTTTTGAAAATATCTTACATGTCTGTGCATGAATTCAGTGTTTCTTATAAGGCCCCACCAACCAAATTTGTCATTGGGATAGATAGTTTTGAAAGGTTGTGAATTCTGAAAAGAATGTAAGCATGTTTCATGGTAGTGGTACTTCTGTTGGTTACGCCATCAGAACGTCATCACAAGGCTGCCTTCGCGGTACGATCCACTCTTCCAACGTTAGTGCGTTCTTCCCATCCCTCTCAGTCAATTCGCTTCGCCTTCACTTATAGCGCCTTCGCCTTAGCCTTCTGAGATACCCTCCTTCAGAGAACGGCGATCAGCTCAGATCATCTCGCACGAAAAGAACGTCCAACCAATTTTTCTCACCTGCCACGAGCATCGGGATGATAGATTTTCAACAATTATACGATGGCGTGTTTGTTGTGGTGGACCATATCTGCAATTCGTAGTGTTCAATACTTATAGTGTT